TACGACATCATGATCCAGAATTCGATGGTGCTGGATCAAATGTTCCTGCAGTTCCTGGGGAAACTCACCAATTGCATGTGGGGGTAGAACGCTTGAGAGCTCCGGAAATACTGTTTCAACCATCTTTGATAGGTTCTATGGAAGCAGGTATTGCTGAAACAATCGAATTCGTCTTAAAGCTTTATTCACCCGAACAACAGTCACGACTCGTGGGAAATATATTTCTTACTGGAGGACCAACAACATTTCCTGGTTTACTAGAAAGATTGAATCGTGAACTTCGTGAAATGAGACCGTTCGGCTCAAACTTCCAAATAAATATTGCAAAAAATACTAGTATAGATGCATGGTATGGTGCGAGAGACTTTGGCCTAAATGGCAATCTTCCTGAATATTTAGTGAGTAAAAAGGAATACGAGGATAAGGGTGGTGAATATCTTAAGGAACACTCAACCAGTAATACTTACACTCGATCTCCTGATCCATTACCTACTGTACAAACCCCTACGACATCTGAACAGGTTATTGTAGAGGATGCCGTTGTTGACGTTGAAATGGAATGAAAACTAAGAAATCTTATACTGAACTGTATTATAAAATAAATTTAACTGGAATCACAAAACATTATTTTAATCTATTACATTAATTTTATATACTATCACTAGTTAGAAGTGGAAAATTCAATACAATTCTATTGAAAATATTTATATTCATTAATATATATTACGTATGCGCAACACAATATTTACAAATATTGTTGCAGAACCGTAAAAGAAAGAAAGTAAATGAAACTCCTGAAACTTTAACCTTTCCAGCTCTAAATACTTTCGTGATACATGTACACAGTAGACCAAATACTTTTCGTGTCAGAACATGCGTTACAGTCAATATCTCTTTATTAAACTATTGTTGTATTACCAATTTTGCATTGTTGTACACGCACTAATTAAAGACAAAGCTCCTGTTTAATACGGAGAGTTTTTCCAGTTTATTGTAGGGACACAGATCTATAATCGTGATACCAAAACTGTTTAAGCATTTCTACAAGAAAAATTGATCAATGAAGTTACTATTGGCGAAATACACTTACGACATTGTATACTCTACAAGTATTAAATGAGTAATAACGCAGAATTCGCTGCCAAGATAGTTTATTAAATTTCGTTTTGACCATTTATGGTTTACAGTGACAATTTTCAAAAAACACTGGAAAAAAATTTGATTATATTATCTGTCGTTATTTGTAGAGTCCACTACACAACTGTTTTGAAGTTTATTAAGCATTTTGGATATATGTTGAAGTGTAGTGTTTGTGTTCCACGTGAATTGTTGGAAAAGAATTTATGCGATAGAATCAGCATTTGTTCGTCACTCCTCGTTTAGTACAACACATAAATGCGATAGAATTCCTACGTGGGTTCATACTTATGAAACGATACAAACTTACCTTTCTTCATGCGTTTGCATTGCTTCAAATGTAAATTTTTGAACTCTGATCAAAGTACAAACCGCAGTTATATTGAGATGAAAATATATTTTCAAAATATTTTAAGATTAAAGTTTGCATTAAATGTTTAACATTTTCTTCGGATGTTTTTCACAAGTATGAAAAGTGCTTATTTTAAATATATAATTTTATGTACATGTTTACAAAACAGATAGAATTTGAAAATTTGTCATTTTTAGTATGCATTCATAGAACACAAATATTCAAATTATCATTGAATGTATTTAAGGACAAATTATGTGTCCTTAATGTATTGTTAATATTTTTATAATAATTAACTTCTGTAGTTTTGATATTTG